GCCGAGCCACCTCAGGGTGGCTCGGCATGAGCCGAGCCACCCTCAGGTGGCCCGACTCCCCCCCCTCTCTCTCTTGTGCACAAAGGCACAGTTCAGAGAGGCTATAAATAGGGGGGGTGGTTGTTCATTTGAGGGACTTCTTCTGAAACTTTTGAGAGAGCCGAAACTCTGCCGGATTGTCACCTCAACTCGGAGATCTGAAGGCTTGAAGACTTGGAGACCCGGATTTGATTCTTAGCGAGCACCCGCACCGAAAAAGGCAGGAGTTCGAGAGAGTCTAATCCTCAGATCTACGTCGTTACACTCCGGATCTAAGCTTGGTTCTTAGATCCCGAGATTCGAGCGGTCGTTTCCTTGGTGAAACGATCCCTCCCGGCTATTATCTCCTTGGTGGGATAATACCCGTAATACGTCGTAGATCTGCTTGGATCCAGATCACGCGGTGGTCCACGGTAAGCAACCCCGGCGCAGGCAAACAACCCACAAAGCAAGAGACCGGATAACAGGATCTTGTGATTTGTTCGGTAAAAGAGAGAAGTTGTAATTTTGATTTCTTTGTTTTATTTTGATTTTCATTGTAAGCCGGATCTTATAAAAAGACCGGATCTCTTTGTAACGCATAAAGTTGTTAACTGAGTGCAATGGAATCGATAATGAAGAAAACACCAACTTTTCCCGCGAACAGTCTCGGCTGCTGGTCCTGGCTTCGGTTGTAGTGCTTAAACTGACCTTTGCCCTGCTGACCTCCTGCTGGTGCACTGCGATACTCTATAGCTCTATGACCGAACTTATGGCAGTGAAAACAAGCACCCTAAAATTTGTGTTTCTGCGGTGCTCTCTGATCCTGCTGTAGTCCCTTCTTATGAGGGTCTTGCTGCTACTGCTGAGAACCTTTGCTCTATTGCTGGGGTCCTCCGGGCCCTAAAAATGATCTCTTGCCCTTGCCTTTATCCCCGAACTGTCTCGCTCTAGAACTTCCGTCTCTGCTCTTTTGAAAAATGGTGGTCTTAGTCTCCTGTGAGATGGCGGCATCAGCTACCTCTCGCACTGAGTGAAATCGTCTAGACACTAGATAGCGACATAGGCTTGGGCGAAGTCCCATCAAAAACATCTGAGCCTGACACTCCCCTGTATGCCACATTCTCGTAAATCTAAGTAGACCCTTGAATTTGCTTTCATAAGCTGCCACTGACATGTTTGTTTGCGTCGAAAATTGTTGTATTCATTGCTGTATTCATTACAACTTTAGTCGTTACAATGAAATCAAAAAAAGATTGTCTTTTTATAAGACTTTTACACAATGAAAACAAAAGTTACAACTCTCGTCAAAACAAACGCAGAGATCGTTTATCGGTCTTCTGCTTGCGTGGGTCTTTTACCTGTGACGGGGACGTCAATATCCGTGGACTACCTGGCACTCAGATCTGTTCCTGAAAAATCAGACAGAGCTTCGTCGATCCGCGTGAGATCTAGAAGCCTGAAGCGTCTATCTCGGCTAAAACGAGATATCTGCTCTTCTTAGTGATTACCGGTGAAGGGTAATACTAAGGAAAGGGGCAAGGGTGATGAAGAATCTGATGAAGACCTCTCTCCTCCTCGGTTGAAGCGCTCGACCACTCTTCACTGCAGCAGGGCTTCGCCAACTTCTCCAAAAATCCAGATCCCCTTAAAAGTGAGGGCTAAGGGCACTATTTATAGGCATGAGGGCATCTAGGGTGCCTAGACACCCCTGGGGTGTCTAGGAAAAGCCTAGACACCCCTGGGGTGTCTCGGCTTGGCCGAGACACCCCTGGGGTGTCTCGGCTTGGCCGAGACACCCCTGGGGTGTTTCGACTTTTCCGAGACACCCCGGGTGTCCCAACTTAGCCTGAGACGCTCCGTTGATTGTTTTTCCCCGTAACTTCTTCGTCCGAACTCGGATTTGAGTGATTCCAAGTGCGTTGGAAACTTGACGAAGAGTTCGATCCGCTCCAGTGGTTGGATTATCTGTAGAGTGATTGA